GAGACTCACATGTTTAAATCTCATACAGTATCCCCAGTGTAAAAATACTGAAAGAATAAATAAGATCCAAAATGTAGAGAAGATATTGTGAACGTGAAATAGAGAGAAACTGCTCAAAAGGGGAGAACAATTGGAATGGGGAAAGGAGAAAAGGAAAAAGGGAGAAGATTATGTGTATATGTTTATGTAATCCATATATATATGCGTATATGTGTACAAGAGAGATTCCTATGCTACTAATCTCTGTTAGATCACTAGAAAGAACAGTTTGTGTGTTCACAGTTTGTTTGATCACTTTTTTATACCTGTATCTTCTAATCTGAACAAGTACTTTGAAGATAACAATAGGCATTATATTAATCAGTGATCATCTCCTACATTTGATTTGAAATTTGTATCATTGTCCTATTTTTTGATTTTAAAGTTTAAAAAATGACACAAACTTATTCTGTTATAGTTTTGGGGTCGAGAATTCTAGAATCAGTTTCAGGGAGCCAAGCTCAGGGCGCAGACAAGGGGTGTGGCATGCAGAAGTTTTAGGCGGAAACTCTGTCCCTTGCCTTTCCCAGCCTCTGGTGGCAGCCTGTCTCTGTGGCAATGGCCAAGTCACACTGATGTCCTTTCTGTGTTCCCAGGGCTTCCCCTCTCCTATCTATGCTGGCCCTCCCTCTCCATAATAAGCACTCTTCAGGTCACATTTAGTTCCTCCCTTACAATCTACCCTTCTAAGCATCTTTAATTTACACCTGTAAAGGCCCCTCTGCTCCATAACATAATTACTACCTTTCACGGGATAGGACCTGAAATCATGGTGACTGTACTCATTCTATTAAACATTGAAGTGTCAGCTCTTCCTGTGTACACACACACCACCGTCTTTCCTTCTGTGTCTCTTTCTCTCCTTTTATTCCCTTCCTGATCACAAATGCTTTTACTTCTGCAAATATAAAGAGGCTTACACAGGGAGGCCTTGCTTGAGTTTTGCTTAAAAACCTGCTCGGTCCCCTGTGATCACACAGGAGGAATGACTCAGATGGCCCTCATTCATGTGGGGAGAAGCAGCCTCCACAGCGAGTCAGGAGCCATTAATTTCTGAAGCTGTGACTGTTTTCAGGGACTGTCTCCCACTTTCTCGGGAGGCATGGACGGCTGTGTTCAGTAGGATCCATCTCTGCCTCTGCTTCCTCTAATTATGTGTAGCTCTGGCTATGGCTTCTGCCCCTTTTCCCATGGAGTGGAAGCTGAGGATGCCCTAGTCTTTCACTGCTGGTAGAGCTGCAGCCAGCCTTGCACAGTGCCAGCTCCCCAAACCAAAACAGCCTTCTCAGCTGGAGAACTTTCCCTATAGAAGTGGCAACACGATGTGCAATCAGCCCATATCTTGAATGTCCATGTGCTCAGAGTCTATTTTTGGAGAGCTGATGAAGCAGGGGAAGGTGCAGCTTTGCCTCTCATGTAAACCAGATCCATAGAACAGAAAAGTGGGCAGGAATTTGAGTCCCCTTGGGGTCTATACAGAAGCTTTGAAATGGGTCATTTATTGGCACGTCCCTCACCCACAGCAGTACAAGGCAGCACCTCAGACCTTAGAGACTCACAGGAATGCTTCACTGTCTCTTGTGGTTTTGTGCATCATCTGAGCAGCTTCTCTTCTGCTTTGCCTGGGATGCCTCATGCAGCTGTAGGCGGCTGGGTCACTTGTGTCACCTGCACAACTGTGTCACAGCTGGAATGGGCTATCAGCTGGGCTTCTTTGTTTCCCTTCCTGACATGTCAGGTGTAGCGGTGCTGGTAACACTTCACCTGCTACTCAGGTATTTAAATGTACATTCTTGATACACATTTTACGATTAATGAAGGTGAGTTTTTATTGTGCAGGGGCACACTAGCATTAACACTTCTGAGCAAATTTCACCAGCAATTCTGAGTGACATTAGAGATAAAATATTCCACCCTACTGGAATGACCATGCCCACTGCCCACTGCACCCTGCACACTGCTGCACTCATTTTCTCTTCCTTGTAGTCTCTTTGGGTATGATATTTTTATTTGAAATCCTTTTCTTTTTTAAGTGTAGACATTTGTTTCTATAAAGTCTTTCTTTAGAATGTCTTTTGGTCCATCTCACAGTTTTAATATTTTGTGTTTCCATTTCAATCTGTCTCAAAACAAAATAATATTCTTTGGGTTTTTGCATAACACTTGTTAGTTCAGGAGCATGTTTTGAAATTGCTATATATTGTGAATTTCATAAAGCTTCTCCTGTTACAGGATTATGCTTTCATACCATTGTGTTTTGAGAAGCTACTTGGTATCATTTCAGTCACCTTAAATTTTTCAAAACTTGTGTTTGTTGCCTAACATGTGACCTATCTTAGAGAACACAGGGGTGTGATCCAGGAGAGGTTTATTCTGCTGGTATGGGGAAGAATGGTCTGCATATGTCTGTTTAGTTCATTTGATTTAAAGTGTAGTTTAAATTCAATATTTCCTCATAGATTTTCCATGTGGATCGTCAGTCCAGACACTGCTATTATTATTGTATTTCTGTGTCTGTATTTCCTTTCCGAACTCTTAATAATGTATTTACTTTGTATGTGTAGGGGTGTCAGCACTAGGTAAGTATATATTTATAAACCTCATGCTATCTTTTTGTATTAACCCCTTTTAAGATGAATGACCCTTTTCATGTCTTTACTCAGTTTGCATCTTAAAATTTATTTTCCCAATTATATTGGTAGTAGCACCTGCTTTGTGTTCATTTCTGCTTGCATGTAATATCTTTTTTCATGCTTCATTTGCAGACTATGTGCGCCTTCAAATCCAGGATAGGTCTCTTTAGGCAGTGAATAGTTGGTTTTTATTTTTTAAGAAACTTATGCCACTCCATTAGAGTCTGCTTAGTCTGCTTAGAGACTTTAATCCATTTACATTAAAGGTAATTATTAAGAAAAAATTGACTCTTTCCATTTTGTTAATTTTCTCTTTTTTCATTGCTCATTCCTTTCTTTTCTCTTTATTGGTGTATTCTGTGTGATTTGATGATTTTTTGTGATGTCATGACTTGCTTTCATTCTCTTTATCTTTTTTTGTATCTGTTATGGGTTTTTGCTTTGCATTTCTCATGGGATTTATGTAAAGCATCAGGTTGTAACGATCTATTTGAAACTGCTAACCACTTACCTTTGATGACATGCAAAAACCGAAAAATTTCTACCCCTCTCCACCCCAAAATTTATACTTTGATATCAATCAATAATTTACCAATTTTTATATTTGGTATTCATTAACGAATTACTATAGTTGTGGTTACTTTTTTTAGTTCTGTCTTTCGATCCAGCCAGCAGGCCTCGGGCATATTACATGGTGTCATTCACATTCTGGGTGGGTCTTATCTCATTTTGCTGCCCAAGATACCAAGTCACCTCTGTAAATACTCTTAGGGACACATCCAGAATTGTGTAATTCTACCTACCTGGGAATTTCTCAATGCCATCTAGCTGAATCTCAGGACAAATCATCACCCTCAGTACTTCAGAGCACTGATCATTTTCGGTCATGGGTCTGTCTCAAAGCAATGACTGTGTGATGCTATTGAAATTCCCTTAAAGAGCTGTGGTGGCATGGCTTGGATAATACCAGGAACACACTGAGAAATTGTATGGAAACTGATGTGCAGCCCTTGAGATTGCCATGAAGTATGATAGATTTCCTCTAGAGAAAACCTGGGGAAAAAGTCATCCCTGCTCCCAGCAAACAACAAAGAAACTGAAAAACAAATATTAGTCGGTTTTACTAAAAGGACTCAATAAGGTATTAAAATGCCTGCTGACTGGAGTTGGGTAGAAGGTGACCTACACTCAAGTTGCTCCCTGAATGGGGGACACCATTTCACAGCCTGTCTTCTAAGAAGAGGAGTTACAAGGCCGTGTGTTTAATTGTATTTTTATTTATTTTTATTTTTATATTTTTTTAGGTACCAGGGATACAACTCATGACTGTGCACTTGCAAGGTAGGCACTTATGTTGCTGAGTTAAATCCCCAGCCCATTTAAGTATAAAACAAATGACATCCAGAAGTCTCCATGACTTCTGGAGTGGTTGTCATGTGATTGGGCATAATAAAATATGATTAAAGAAGGAGACAAAATTCAATGGACTGACAGAAGATTTAAAACACTTGTAGTTTTCTCCATTTTTATTTATATTACAAATTTTTAAATATCTCAGTGCACTAAGAAGAGAAAAACCCATAGTATAGAGTGATTATAAAGTTTCCATGGAAATTGACTCATTTATGTACAAAAAGACCATGCTATTAATGATCATGTTGGAATTCTACCAGGCAAAGAAGGGAGCCATAGTTATCCTCGGATATGAGAATGTATGGGAGAAAGTTAATGAGGAAAATGAGAATCAAGTCACTATAGAAAATGACAAAGTTAATAAAAATGCACTAATCTCCAAAATAAAGAGTTACTCTGTTTATGGAAATATATTCTAATAAACTGAGGCTCTTCTCTACTGCACGATGTACCAAGAGGTGTGGCATAGATTTGCTGAAAGACATTTTCTTCTCCATGACCTCAGAGTATCTACACTAAGCCACATATCAGCGTAGAACCATCATTTCATCTCCAGAAGATTATATTTTATGGAATTCTACATGTTTTTATTAAGATGCAGGTCTTAGAGGCTAGGTAGAAAATTACTGAAGGTCTTGGTTTCCCTAGTCTTAGAAGAAAGATGTCTTATTCCAACTACACAGGCCTAGACCTCAAGGACAAATAAAGATCAGAAGTCAGATGGTTTATCTTACAAACACCAAAAAGAAATTCATCTGGGTCCAAATGTGGTCACCAGAAGGAACTGAGCCATCTGGGTCCCCAGCTCAGCCAAAATCTGTGAGGTGCCTGTATGGAAAACATGATTTGCATGTTTTCCCTAGAGGCCATTTCTGGTCCTAGGAGTCCCCATGAAAGGCTGCTTGATGGATCCGGGCAAAAAGAGCCTCAGCAGAGTTAAGACAGAACATGGGTTTCCTGACTCCTGTTTTTTGCCTTCTGCTGCTCTGGTGCCCAGGTGAGGGAGGCAGGTACTGGGAACACACCCTAAATGATAGGAGTTCCCTTTTTCTGGTGCAGAGAGCCTCCCAGGGACAATGGGACTTTCTGGCTAATGGTTCTTTCACAGAGATCCAGGTGCCCTTAAGTTAAAGGACCAGGAGAGCCCAAGAATTTTTCCTCCTCTGCTGGAGGAAAATACACAGGGGCCCCCTCACTAATACTTGTTGTGTTTTCCTTCCTTCTCAGCCACCAGTGGGAGCGTTGCCCTGACACAGTCCCCAGCCTTCCTGAGTGTGACTCCAGGTGAGAGTGTCTCCATCAGCTGCAGGGCCAGTGCCAGTATTAGTGATGATTTAAACTGGTATCAGAAGAAACCAGGCGAGTCTCCTAAAATTCTCATTAATGATGCTAATAACCGATATGCCGGTGTCTCTGATCGCTTCATTGGCATATACAGTGGGACAGAATTCACTTTTAAAATCAGCAGGGTAGAAGCTGGAGACGCTGGCACCTATTACTGTCAGCAAGACTATGCACTCCCTATCACAGTGTTACAGCCCTGTACATAAACCAGCTGCCCTGGCGGTTCTGTGGTTTCAACAGCTGCTGTCTCTCCTGTGCAATGTTCACCATGGCAGCCTCTGTGATGGGGCTGGGTGGGTGGTTATGCAGGGTTCAGCGGTGAGGGTATGAAGGACTTTTCTTTCAGAATATGTTCTCTTGACAAAACAACCCTTCCAGCCTTCAGTGAAGTCTGACAATGAGACCTGTCTGCCAACACTTCACAGGACCTCTCTGTAACATGGTTTTGAATCTTATCGCTGAGACACTTTCCAAAACATGTGTTGTCCAGAGAACTAATTCACAATAAGAAGCCATCTCCAGGGAAATATGGAAGATATTTCTAGTACTACAATCCTAGTAATAATAATAAAGAGCAAACCTGTCCCTGTGGCAACTGCCACTTACTGCTCTTGAGGTTTGCTATGTGTTGAACACTGGACTACTCCATGTGGCCTAATCCCCTATGAATCCTCTATAGATAATTATATGTTAATTATATAGATAATTATATTATTGTATTAATTATATAGATAATTATATATTAAATACCTGTTGGATATTTGCTTTGTAAATATTTTCTTGCATCATGTGGATTTCTTTTTCTTATTCATTTTGTTTAATATTTCTTTTGTTTTGCAGAAAGCTTTTGTTACAATTGTTTAGTTTTTGTTGCCTGTGATTTTTGTGTTATATCTGAAAAGATACTGCCAAGACCAAGGTCAAGGTATTTTACACATTTACTTTCTTTTAGATTACACAGTTTCACATCTCACACATGATTCTTTAATAAACATTGAGTTCATTTTTATAGATAGTGAGGCGCATAAGTTTAATGATTATTTTGGTAGTCTATATCCATTTTTCCCAACACTATTTGTTGAAGATATTTTCCTTTCCCTTTTTGGTGCTTTTGTCTAACTTTCATTGATCTGTAGGGAAAGTTTCATTGTCTGTCTTCCAGGAAATGATATCAGTACAGGGAAGGAAGAAAAACCTAGTGCTGCTCATCTGTGCTGTGTGGCTGTCCACTGACCTACACTAGTGAGCCTAAGTGCAAGCTGCCCTTCGTAAACTCTTCAGTGTAAGGCTGCACCAGGGATCTTGGAAAAGCCTACAAAATGGCAAAGAAAAATAATATCTTGAAGACAAATTCCAATGCAAAGACTTAATTCAATTTGACACAATCAAGCACCTAGGAAGATGATGAGACACAATAGAGGTAGAGAGAAGCAGTGTCCCTCTTATGGATCAAAAACTGGTGGTCAACTTAACCCCAGCTTAGTTACATCAGCATGGTGCTGACTGTAGATGGCCCACCTGAGGGAAGTGCCAGAATAAGAAGTGATGTGGAAAGGAAGAGGAGGTGTTGTGGTTCTCCTAAGTGTTGTCTTTTGAAGCTTTCCCTGATATGAAATCCATCATTATCACTAGAGGATCTTGGGATCTTGTTTCTGAGAACAATCACAGTTCACTTTGGGGGAGCTCTGGTCCTTATGTTCATCACTGCTACCTGGCTTTGAAGCAGAAGATGTTGCTATTCAAGTCTGTGAGAAGTTTGCCATGCTGTCTTCCTCACATGTGCTTGACTGTTATCATTGGCAGAGCTCAGGACCTCATTGTCACAGAGGATGTCTGTGATAATTTTCAAGGGAGACCTGGTCCTTATTTTAAGCATTTCTTCTTGTCTCCATTGTGGAACCTTCTGCTTACTAGCACTGATTCAGCATTCCACTGGCATAGTCTTTCCAGCTTCCACCACTGACCTTTGGGCCTTCCCAGCACAGATCTATAAAACAGACTTGCATGAATCGTTATCATGGACTCTAGACCTTCAGTTGGACTCATGGGAGGCATTGTCATGGGCTCCAGGTCTTCAGCTGGACTCATGCAAAACATTGCTCTGGTATCCAGGTCCTTAGTTGGATTTTCTAGATCTTCAGTATTGTGCACAGATTACCTGCAATTTCTTGTAGATCACTCTGGGTGACAATGATAAAATATCAGTAGAAATTTGTGTCCTGTATGTAGTTGCTCTCCTTACAGATCCTCACTACAACAGTCTCTATAGGCTTCTATCTTGGTCCTAACAGGCGTGCACTGAATACGATCTGGCTGAGCCTTGGTGTTTAGTAAGACAGGGTGTCACAAAGAATAAATTTTGTGAACACAAAAGGGAAATTCTTTATTCAGGCTGAATAAAGTATGTTTTATGATATGAACACCTGGGGGGAAGATGATGAAGTGTGGAGAAGACCTACCAATGTTAGCAATACTGGAGCCTAGCTCTCTTAGCTTCAGCTGCTTCGCATGTTCCTCCCAGCCTGCCCTGCTGTCCAGCACCCATATCAATGCCCTGTTCTGCTGGGTGATCTGCTTCAGCAGGGACTCAGAGTGAGCCATGGAAGCCTGGGTTTCTGCTCCTCTGCCTCCTGTTACTCTGGCTCCCAGGTGAGGGGACTACAGATTATGGTTCAACACATCTGTAGAAACTCTTTTAATGTGGGTTCCAGTGTCCTGGCACCTCTGATCAGCAAGCACAGTAATTAAAGTTCAGCGTTGATCAATGAGCTGAGAAGACACTAGTGAGAAGACAACCGGTGATACCTGAATTACATAGGTAACAGTTATTTTCTATGTTCAGTCTCAGATACCACTGGACAAAACCTGCTGAGTCAGACTCAAGCCTCCTTGTTTGTATCTCCAAGACAAACCTTCACTATCTAGCTGGCTAGCAGGGCTAGTCAGGGTGTGGGGGGGGCTACCTAGAATGGTACCAGCGGAAACCTAGGTAGGCTCCCAGGTCCTCATCTATGCTGCCTCCAGCAGGACCACTGGGGTTCCAGGCCAGTTCAGTGGCAGTGGGTCAGGGTCAGACTTCACTCTCACCATCAGCAGCCTGCAGCCTGAGGATGTTGCAGTTTATCACTTTTACCAGTATTACAGTGGGTGTCCCACAGTGATTCAACATGTGACAAAAATCTCCCTGATTGTTTGTCATGGTATTGGTCACAGCAGCTTTTTCCTGTAAGGACAGGTACTATTGTTCTTGCTTAGTTTTAATGTCTCTGCCTCAATTTGGCAGCCATCAGATTCTGAAAATTAACTTGCTGATAAGATTTTGACTGATTCTTGGATTTGTCCACAGACTCTGGCACACAACCATGTGTAGGAATAGCTTCCCTGCTAATGCCATCAGATCAGACTCATATTAGTGGTTGCCCAGAAAAATGTACATTTTATGCCCATGAAAACAAGACAACACAATAACCATTAAGACCACACAAAGCAGAACAAAAACTAGTTCATCCTGGATGAGCAGGGTGATTGGGTGCTACCACAATCTTCTGATCTTTGCAGGTGCAAATGGGACAAGGACCTCACAAAAACCATGAGGTTTGGTCAGCCCACCAGAGCTGAAATTTCAGATCCATTGCTTCACATATTAGTTGCAACTTCAATTATAGGAATTTTTCTAAATAAATGAACAATTGTTGAAGATAGGTGCCCTTGTATCCATCTAAGGATTTCCTACTTTGTCCTTTACAAATTGGTGAAGCATTGAAGTTTCCCACGAGGGCTCTAAATAATAATTAAAGTTCAATAGTCTTAAAGGATTAATATTGTGAAATTACCAACAATTGCCTGGAGTTGAGGGGAAAGGAAAGACCCCTGGACAAGGAGCCCTCAGCCTTGAATCATTTCCTAGCACTGCAACCAGCAGGGTATTCTGGGTCCCCCAGTCTTACCGAAAACTACCTTTTTGTCATTTCATGAAGTCGTATTACTAGACCTTGACTACCCCGTGACCATTATCTTTTTAGAATTCTAGGTGAATTATTAGTTATTTGTCCTTAATAGTTGCATGATTTATTAGGGAGAAGAATCATTTAAAATTTCTATAGAACCTTGTCTGTTAATTTTCAGAATAGGAATGGGTTCCTGAATATAGTACTGGGGAGGAGGTATTTGGTGAAGACATTAGGAACCCAAAATAAAAGGTGGTTGCTACAATGCTTCCATTAAATGGCAAACAAACCCCCACAATACACAAAGTCAGAGTCTTCATCCTAGAAACTAAATGAATGAATGTTGGAATAAAGGTTAGAATATTGAAGCGAAAATTTTCCATTACTCTGTGTCCAGCACTGTGTCCGGTTCCCTAGGCTCAAAGGCTGAGGCCTTAGGTCACAATGGACCATGTCTCCCCATCTGCCAGTTCCTCAGGATATCTTGCTTTACTCTGTGGTGTGTAAAGCACCTGGCTATGATGCCCCTTCCAGGAGGAGTTTTAGAGTCTGAACTCGGTCAGCAATGAGACTGGAGGGGTGAGAGAAGCAGGTACACAGCTCTGAATGAGGGAGATCATAAGTCAAACAGGGATGAAGAAGCCTTGTGAATTCAGAGAGGGAGGGGACAGAACTTATAGATCCCATCTACATTCAAAGGTGCAAAGTGTGTTATGAACAAAAACTAGAACAACGTTCACTCTACTCATGGGCGAACAGATGGATTCTGCTCTGTGGTCCAAGGGAGAAACTCATTCTCTCTTGTGGGAAATCTGTGCCACCCAGTGCTGGAAGAGGCCCAAGAAAACCATGGACCCCTGATGAGCTGTTGCGATTCTGCAGCTGTGAGCAATCCTGCAAAAGCCTCTGCTGATCTGCATGTGCACAGAGCACAACACATGCCCTCAATATTTCTTCTTAGGTTGCTCACACCCTGTGCAGGAGTCACTCACAGTCTGGATATAGCATGGACATGAGGATCTCCACTTAGCTCCTGGGGCTTCTGGTGCTCTGGCTCCAAGGTGAGAAAGGATTGATCTTGCAATTTAGTCTATTTAGAGTTCCCTGGTCAGAGTTGCCTGGCTCTACAAGGAGGTCCTGTTTTATCATGGTTGTGATGATACATGTTGTTTCTGATCTCAAGTGTCAGGTGTGACTTCCAGATCACTCAGACTCCATCCTTTTTGTCTGCATCTGTGGGAGACACAGTCACCATTAACTGCAAGGACAATCAG